ATCGTATGCCGGCCATGAAAGCCTTCGACAATACTTGCTTAGGAACCTTTTAAACAGAACTGGGGGAGTAGGCTGTCTTCTTTTTCTTCTTGATTAGGCTGTGAAGGAACGGTTGCCTTTATACAAGCTAAGAGATTTATTTTGAGAACCGAAGCAAGCGCAGAACCTTTTTTTAAAATAATAATCTTGCACGCTAAGCTGTAAAACACACAGAGCATGCTTTTGATGACATCATGTAGAGTCTTAAATCCCGAAGCGACACGTTTAGTTTATGGCTGTGTCTGTTCTGCTGTCATCTAAGCCAAACCAAACCATGTTCCTTTACAGCACGTTGCATCTTTAACAAATTACTTGTCATCTGCAATTGCTTTGAAATAGCTCTTCGGGTATGGGTTAACATTTAGCCCAAATACCATGATTGTTCTTAAGATCTTCAGCCTATCATTGACTTTTAGACAGTTGCCTATTGTTTTTAATCCATATCCCTTATTTAAACGTTGACAGTGCTGCTGAAACAACTGAGTCATTTTGTGTGAGTTGATTTGTACTTTTGTTCTGTTTGGGTGGCGAATCGGAACAGATCGTGGGCCGATGCTTGTGAATTCTTTAGTAGATTACTATTTGGAAACCAGCTCCCAGCAAGCTTTGCACATCCTGACCACTCTTCAAGAACCACATGACAAGGTAAAACAAGAACAGCAGCTTGGGTCAGTGCATTTAAACCACTAGTTCCCAGCAATGGCTCAGATTTCACAAGAGCACCACATTTCATGAGGTATAGGCCATCTCGGGGCCAGATCACATCCATAACAGCCCAAGCCATTTCCTGTTCTGGAACGATTGCATCCTGGACAAGAAAAAACCTCTTCTCGTGGGTCTAGATCCACATTCCAAGGGACGCTGGAATGTTTCAGCCTTGTGGCCATAAGGGAAGAAAGAGCTCTCTGATTCGTTTGGCTGCTCACAGCTGCTTTGTTTTCTGGTATTCCTCAGTGCATTGTGGGATTGCACCATGGGGACGTGGCTGTGTTGGTCTGTTAATGGATCTTGGTTCAGTTTAGTCTGGTCCCATGGAGAGAAGGCCTAGCAGGGTTTATGAGTGCGCACTTTGGTATTAGGAAAAGCGGTGCTCTTGAATGCACCCCTGGCTATGTTTTAGGCTTCATTTCATTGAAATGGATTTGAGGGGATAGTTCCTAGAGAGAGAGTTGCTTTGTGAGATGGGCGGCTCTATAAATGTGATGTATAAATAAATTAAATAAAAAGAGCCCTTGCAGTCGTGGCACCAGATTGGAGGACACCTTTGCCGGAATCTAACCCTCTCAAAAGTTCAGCCAAGAGCTGGCATTTCTGGAAAAAATGATTTCACTAGTTGGGCTTGAGAAGGCCAGTTTGGTGTAGTGGTTAAGGGCACCAAGTTAGAAACCGGGAGATGGTTAGTTCTAGTCCCGCCTTAGACACAAAGCCAGCTGGATGACCTTGGGCCAGTCCCCCTCTCTCCACCCTAGGAAGGAGGAGGTAAGGGCAAAAAACACTTCTGAAACCTTGCCAAGAAACCTTCAGGAACTTGTCCAGGCAGTTGCCAGAAGTCAAAAACTGACTCAAAGGCGTGCACATGCGCACAGAGAGAGAGAGAGAGAGAGAGAGAG